CTTTCCCTGCATACAAACACCTGCCGCGCTCCCTCCAAATGTGGCTCGCCCAAGCATGCCAGATGTTGCATCCCGATTCAGCAGCTTCCGTCGAAACACCAAGCTAACTAATCATGAAAGCTTTCAACTCCTCCCAATTTTGCACCACAGGAGGCTGGAAATATCTGCAGAAAAGAACACCAAACAGCTGCCTCGAGAATGAACATTGGACATACAAATGCTCCCTATCCTCTTTCCCTGAATTACAAAGACAGCAGGATAGGTCACCCGAAAAACCCCATTTCAGCATCTTCCTTTTTGTGTTGATACTCCCCCTGACTACTAGCCATGTAATTATTCTGTTTCTGGGAATGGCCACTCCCTTCTGTCAAGAACAAGTTGCTCCCAATAACTCGAGTTGTTGGGAGAAATTCAATCGTGGATCATATACCACAACACTAACACGCCCCCTCAAACGAAAGCCACTCACAAGGGCTTAAAGTTTGCACAGGTCTGAAGACAAGAGTACCATGTGCTTAACAAATGGGGGTCACCGGGAATCGAACACAAGACCTCTCGGTCACAGAAGGCTCTGATACCATGTCAAGAACCAGTTGCTCCCAATAACTCGAGTTGTTGGGAGAAATTCAATCGTGGATCGTATACCACAACACTAACACCTTCCACAGAATTTTCCACCATGAGACACGTTGTTGACAAGGATGAAGTAACTTCCAAACCCTTCTAATTGAGTACTGAGGCATGGGAGCATTATCAATCAAGAGAACATCATGGCGAACTCATACCGGTGCTTCCACCCTTCTCCTTAGCTTCAGAAGTTTTCTCCAGTTCCAAGAGCCCGATGAACATGAATAGGACCATAGATCCCTTCCTTTCAATTTGTAGTGAGTGATCCAAGAAACCCAGAGAGAACCTTCCTGTAATAAGATTAACCATAGGTGTCGAATCATGCAAGCTTGGTTCCAGCTATGCATATCCCTAAAACCGGGTAGTTATCATAAATGGTCACAAAACTATTCATTTTGTACAAAACGGTAATAAACCTTTAATTTTGCACGTTTTAGTAACATTTGTTTGGACTAATAACAAAAAGGTAATTCCGTCCATCTCCATCCAAAATTCTGTTAGTTTGGTCCAGTCAATTGTCCCGTCAGCATCCACGTCATCAAATAATTAATAAAACATAAAATAAAAACCAAGTAAACCCTAAACAACCCACCAACCCAATTCATTCCTCTCTATCTCCTCTCCCTCTCTGCCGCCATCTCCACACTGCTAAGAAGGAAGGTAAGGTAGGAGGATTAGTTTGGAAAGCTAAAAACGTGGATATGACCTTACCGTCGATCTGTGATCATCGACAACGGCATAGCGAGGGACTAGAAGGAGAAAAACCAGAAGTATCGTAGTAGCTAGCGAATTGGCTGCATCTGAGAGAGCCGCGGAGGCCGCGGTTCAGGCCGTCGGCTGGGGGTTTGACCTTACCGTTGATTTGCGGCTCAAGTAATGCAAGCCCCATTCGCTCGTCGCCGTTGACGACGTAATTCCTTACATAGTATGTTCGTTCGAGTTTCCCCTGGTTTCTCCATTCCCGGTGTTCCTAAATCGATCAAATGCGATAAAGGCGAGCGCACGAGGTTCATCTCCGATCTCCTCTCTTTCTAGCTGGGTTTTCCCCTCACTGTTGTATAAACTCTGAATTTCGGTTGCTTCTCGTTATCCATGGTGATTGGTGACTGATTCGACGTCAGTTGCTTGATTTTTGGCTGATAACTCTGAATCGTTGACTAACTCTGAACCCAGCCGATTGGGGTTCAAACTTTGCTGGACAAGGTAGCAAACTGTCCACAAGAGAAACGCCTAGCTAGACTTCGGGGAGATCCTTGTCGAGGAGGAAGAAAATATATAAAATGAAGGTGCTAGCTAGCTTATTCCGCTGGAAATAAGTCCGGTGAAGAGTATGGTTTCCTCCCAAGTTCTTGCGATTTGCTAACATGACCTGCAAGGGATTAGATTTCATCACAAAGATGATAGGGGTGAAATTGGATCTGAACTGATCCTCCTACCTTACCTTCCTTCCTAGCTGTGCGGAGAGGGAGATTAGAGGTAGAGAGTAACGGGTTGGGTTGGATTGGGGGTGGTGGGTTGGTTAGGGTTTAATTGTTTTTATTTTATTTTTTATTAATTATTTTGATGACGTGGATGCTGACGAGACAGTTGACTTGACCAAACTAACAGAATTTTGGATGGAGATGGACGAAATTACCATTTTGTTATTAGTCCAAACAAATGTTACTGAAATGTGCAAAATTAAAAGATTGTGACCGTTTTGTACAAAGTGAATAGTTTTGTTACCATTTATGATAACTACCCCCCTAAAACCAAGGACTCCCTCTTTCTTAGGGCAAGCGAGCTTCTGCCAAACAACATTAGACCTAAGCTTCACCCCACTGCCAACTCCCCAGACAAACTTACTGCAAATCTTCTCAACTTCTTTAATTACAGCCTTCGAGAGCAGAAATACAGACATCCAAAATTGAGTGATGCTATATAAACAGTTCCCACAAGTTCAATTCTCCCTGCATATGAGAGAGATTTTGCTTGCCAACTCTTAACTCGAGCAAGGAGTTTGTCAATGAGAGGTCTGCAGGCAGCTACACTTAGCTTTCTAGAGATTAATGGAACTCCTAGATAGCGAACAGGGAAATCACCAAGCTGATAGCCAAACCTATCAGCCCTCACTTTCCTCTCATCTTTATCTAAACCCCCAAATAAAATCTCACACTTACTAGGATTAGATTTAAGGCCTGAAATCCTCTTGAATTGACCCAAAATTCTCTGCAACTCAAACATCCCAGAATTTGAAGCGTTTGAGAAGACCAGTAGGTCATCAGCAAAACATAGATGAGTTAACAGGACCCCTTTACACATTGGGTGGTAAAGAAATAACCCTTCAGAAGCTGATTTATCAATCAAACAGGTAAAAATCTCCATGGATATAGAAAACAGATATGGGGAAAGGGGATCCTCTTATCTGAACCCTTTTTTTGAAGGAAAATAACCCACTAACCCACCATTAAAACTCACACTCAACATGAGGGTCTCCACACACATTCTGATACAGGTCACAAATCTCTCAGGAAGTCTCATACCCTTCAGAACTTTACTAATAAAATTCCAATCAACTGAATCAAACGCCTTCATAAGATCAATTTTTAAAGCACAACGAGGAGAGATGTTCTGCTGAGAGTACTTACTAACCAGTTCATGAGTTAAAAGGATATTTTCTCCAATAAGTCTCCCTTTCACAAACGTCGATTGATTTTTACTAATTAAGGATGGAAGCAATGGACTCAACCTATATTAGTAATCAACTCTGAAATGCTATTGTACAGGATATTGCAACAGGAAATAGGCCGAAAATTCTTCATGTCATCAGGGTTAAGACCTTTGGGGATTAAATATAGTATTGTAGCATTAACAGGCCTATGAATTCTATCTTGCTCAAAGCAATAACGAATAGCAAAGGTTACCTTAGGGCCAATAAGTGGCCAAGCATAGTGGAAAAATGCAGTAGAAAATCCATCAGGTCCAGGACTCGTATCTCCATCCATTCCAAATATCACATCCATGATCTGCTCATCCGTGAAATAGTCACACAACCCGGTATTCTGTTACTCAGTAAGTTTTCTCTTCAATATTCCTGCATAGAAATCATCAGACTGATCCTCGACTTCAGTATCAACTACCCTCAACAGGTTCTTGTAAAAACGGACATCAAACTGAGCCATCTCATCCACATCTTGCACCTTCTCACCCTGCTCATTCTTAAGCATTCTAATAGTGCTTCGCTTTTGTTTTAACCTGACTGATCGATAAAAATACTCTCAGTTCATGTCTCCTGTTTTTAACCAACTCTCTCTTGACTTCTGTCTTAAAAAACTTTCCTCTGCATCCAGTAAAGCTTTAAGCTTATGACTCAATCTCCTCTCTTCCTCAAAGTTATCCTCAGAAGGATCAGTGAGGGCCTGCTGCTGCATCAGATGAAGTGCAACCTCCTTTTCCTTGACTCTCTCTCCAATGTTAGAATATTCCTCTTCTTAAGCTTCTGTAATAAGTTCTTTAGATTCTGCAGCTTTTTACAAACTCTAATAAGAGGGTGACCATACACTCTACTCCTCCAAGCCTCTTCCAGTAACTCATCAAAACGAGGATGACGAAGCCAAAATTTGAAGAACTTAAAAGGCTTCAAAAGGGACTTCATAGAAACTATTGTATCAACAAAAAGAGGGCAGTGATCAGACACACCAGGGGTTTGAATATGAACCTTGCTATCTTTGATAGTATCTAGCCAGGAAAAATTGACCAGGACTCTATCCAATCTCTTAGCTATTGGATTTTTTGCTTGCTTGTTCAGCCTGGTAAACCATGGGCCATTCGCTTGATGCTCCTCCATCTCCATATCAACAATCCAATCCTGAAAATATGTCATACTAGAATCCACCCTTGGGTTATTTGAGGCCTCAGTCCCCCAACACCATCCAAGGTGCACGAGAGACACGAATACAGACTAGTTCTCTGTATAATATCTGCCTATCTCGTTCCTCATTAGACGCATAGACCACAGTACAAAAGAAAGGTTGTATTCCCCCAACCATAAACTGGATAAACTGTTATGAAGAGTGAAGAACAGTTACCGGAATTTCCTTTCTCCAAAGAAGCCAGATTTTCCCCAAACCAACTGAGTTGTGCTTAGTCTTTGATTCCCATTCAGGAAACCTCTTCTCAACCAATTCATCTGCCTCAGAGACTCTTATTCTAGGCTCTAAAATAGCAACTATATCTATACTATACTTGTTTATTTTCTTTAATATAACTTTATATTTACTATCAGCCTTAAATCCTCTTGTGTTCCAGGTGAGTATCTTCATCTCTTACCTCTCCCCCTACCACATTTTTCTCCTTTCTTCTATGGATGATAAGGAACTGAAGGTGAATCCACCTATACTTTCTTCCCTTTAGTAGCCTTTGGTTGCACATTCTCATTTCCCTTACTAGAGTCAGTCTTACCACCTTGAGTCAACTGCCCCTGTAAATTCCCAGAATCTGCTTACTTACCAAGCTCAGTTGAGTGCCCAGTTGCAGGAGGACTCCCACCCACAGATGGTGATCCCCTTACAATTTGAGCAAAACTCAATGGTGGTCTCCCAATTGAAGAAGGAGCTTGGCTAACAACTTCAACTGAAGCCAACAACGACATAGGTGTGGGCATCTTCTCCACATTACCCTGACTGTCAGCAACAACACCCTCAACTACCTGAACCTCTTCCACATCAACAATTGATTGAGCCATAACTGCAGCAGGAGCATCATTAACATCATTGGCATCCTTAGTATCCTCAACAACATGAGCCGTCTCACCGCCCAGTGGCCTCATCTGCCTAACTTGTCCCAGCCCCAGGCGCTTTGACTCTCCACTGTTTCCGTGGTTCTTGATGGCAACTATGCCAAACATACAACAGTTAAGAGAAAACTTTAGGGAGATGCAAATAGTCAACCTCCACTTCAAAATCTAGATCATTATTAGGATACAAACGAATGCGACGCGAGAACTCAAAATCAGCCGATAGCTCAACACAGACTTTAGAGAACCCTAGCTGATCCCCAAACCTCGTCTTCTAATATGTCCATAATGGCTTACCCAACGTACTCGCAACCCATTCTATTCCATCATGACCCAAATACTCAAGAGGCAATCCCCAAATTCTAACCCAAATCAGGAGTGTCTCCACCTTCGGCACAATCGGCTGAATACCCACCTCCCATTCACGAAAGAAAATAGGATTACCCATAAAATGCCACGGTCCAGACTTGAAAACCCAGTCACACGACAAAGTTGAAGGAAATTGGATTACCAGAAGCTTGGGACCAAATCGTGAAACACGTACCACACCATCTCTCCCCCAGAGCATAGACCAGGAAACCGGATCGTACCAGCCGATTCAACCGGTTCAACCGGAAATTGGACCAAAAGCGGTACGGTGGGCTGATTGTGCTGATTTTACCGTACCGGCCGGTTTTTTCGGTTTGACCGGTTGAACCGGTCGGTACGATCCGGTTTCCTGGTCTATGATTCAGCTTCATTTCTCCGTATTCTCGTCCAATATGTGGAGAATAATTAAAAAAGAATAATATTTTGCTATTTTTCTATGTTGAAAATGGGTCACCGTGGTTGTATAATGCTCTATTTGGTTCTTTTTTTGATGGATTATATTTTTTATACTATCGCATTTCATTTCTCTATCAATAGTGAAAAACGGTATTTACCGGTACAAAACGGTTGAACCACGGTCGTACCACAAAATATCATACCAGAAAGGAATCCGGTATGATGTCCGGTACGGTTTCCTTTACCATGCCCCAGAGTCGGTTAGCCCAAGACTGGAGCTCCGCTACCTGAGGACGCTTCCCGACGAATTGACCCACCAAGGAGTTTCTCCAACGTTCAACACTCTTCTCCTTAATCACCTGCGGAATCCGAAATCCATCCTTGACCTTCTCTGGTGGTCGATAGGTGAGACGCTTTTCTGACGCAACAGAGAACAGACTCGCCCAGGAGGAGCCCTCGCCAACCGGCTCCCCAGCCGACGACGAGGCAGTCATTTTTAAACTCCATTTTTGCTTTCATGTTTAATATTATCTTTTTACTAAGAAATTTATATTAATAATAACATATCTACGATATATATAATTTCATTCTATAAATTTTATAGATTTCAAATAAAATATAAAATATTATAATTTTGATCTAGACTCAATAAGCCTCTTTAAAATGTAGATGATAAAATTTCATTTTAACTTCAAGTGAATAAATTTTTGAAACATTTTTAATTCATGAACACATATATTTATGGATCTACACATAATATAATACACCGAAGGGAAAAACGGGAGCCCCATTTCAAATTTCCTGCAACGAGATTGAAAGTAGGAAGGACATTTTGGTCTTCACAATTACTTTTTTTTATTCATTAAAAAGACACGTACTGGGATTCGAACCATGTCCATTTTAAAGAAAAGCAAGGAACATAACCAATCACACTAAGTACATTTGTTGCATCCTTTTAAATCAAAAACATATAATAGCAGGGAGGAAAAACCCTTCCCCCATTTCAAATTCCCTGCTCCATGAGCGTTTGTAGGAAGGGTAGAATAGGTAGTGTTAATTTTTTTCTCTTTCCTCTGTGGAACGGGCCAACTTACCGTACACATGCGGATTTAAACGGGTTCAGGAGTGTCAATTTTTTTTCTTTAACCCCTTGTATTTCTCCGTGGTGATAAAATATATATGAAAAGACAAAAACAATACTTCTTTTTATGCTAAAAATAAAAAAAAATTAACAATAAACTAATGCATGGTATCTAAAGGGCTAACCGCTAACCATAAAATAAAAGAGTTGAATGGGCCTGACCTACACCGGATTTGGCCATCAAGTAAAACAAATGAACATCATTGGTTTGACATTCTAAAACAAGCTATTTTCTCTAGCATAATATATATTATTATATTATTTTATATTTTAGTGGCTAAAATATAATGTAGTTTAAAGTTATTCAATGGTTCAATCTCGACCAACCCAATTAGTCCAATTTTTATCATTTCAAATATATATTATATAATTATTTGATATCATAATGATAAAATTATAGTGTATTTTATAGGGAATCGTTTGGTATTTGTTAGTAAAAAACTAAACAGAAAGATCTATTTGGTTATTTTAAACATTAAAACGATCCTAAACATTTTCAGTTTCTTTTGAATTTCTATGGTTTTATTCCCGAATAAGTGATGTGCAAATGGCGAATTGCAGTCATCTATTTTCTTTCACTATTTTTTATTTTCAAATAGAAAGTTTAAAAGTAACGAATAATTAGAATTTTGCATGGGTCGGTCAAACAGACTGAATTTTAAGTTTTGGCCCGTTTTGATCAAGTCTAATTTATAATCACATGGTTCCCTGATACCCGATAAAAATCTCAATCCAAACCACTTTGGCAGGTGAGTCCGTGTTTACCACCATTCTCTAGGAATACGACAACGGTGGTTCCTTTCCCAAATCGTGTTGTTCGTTCTTGATTTCCTTAGATTTTATCATGGCCTGACAAAAACCAGAAAGCACAATGACGACAAGATGAAAGTTTTATAAATCAAATTAATGGTGTTCTCTTTATGATCTCATGTAATTATATAATGAAGTTGAAGTTTTTCGATGCTATTCAATTTCATTGGTATGTTTTTAATGGTCTAACTTCATGGTTGTACCAACTTTTGATGTACTGTTTATGTTCCAATATATTCACTTTGGTATGATTATTAGGGATATACTAGGCGGTACTCACCATTAGACCAATTTAGCTTAATGGTTGAATCTACGGGTTATCTCAATAATTCAATATTCGGCTCACCTCCTCCGACCAACGGGTCGGGTTACAAGCTAGTTTAAGGGCAGGGTCTATTCTAGTATATTATATATATCTTTGGGAAGGCGCGGTGGGTGGAGAGGAGGGATTTTATAGTTTATGCATAAATGCCCGCACCGGCAACTTGCAGTGCAATTTGAGTCAGTTAATTAATTTAATTGAAATATCTGCAGATTTCATCAATTCTGGCTGCTGCTCTTCCTCGAGGGAGGAAATTTCTGCAACTGTTAACACTTCATTACAACACTTATAATTATTACTTATTGCACAATCCTAGGTTAGGATGAAAGGGAATTATGGATTACACAATCCTATAATCAATTTTTAGTCCCATGATTCGAATTAATAACATCTGCTGTCCTCTTTTTGTAAACTTAAAAATTTAATTAGTTTGGATTGATATAAGACTTTACCTGAGAGAAGCTATTATAATATATGAAGTCACTATTTTATTTATTTATGGAAACATTAGAGCTTTATTAAGCAGAATTAACGGTTACATTGTTTTGAACCAACTGGTCCCAGATCGTACGAGACATCCAACTGGTCCCATCTAATGTGTGTCTAAAGAGAGTTGGTTGACTTGGTACGAGCCATCTAATGTGTGAAACATCCCGGATCGTGCTCTAAAAGTATCATTTGATTGTAGATCATCTTTCGAATTTTGCACCAAGCAGTTTTGGCAATCAATAGCAAATATGAAGATATTTCCTATATTGACCCATGATAATCTTACAATCTAATTAATGTGTGTCCCTTTAATTCTTCCAGATCATCAGTAGCATAAATCAAAGTATTCCTATTGACCTTTCTAGAATGTTTGTTTAATTAGTTTTCAAAACAAACATAATGCATGCGTGTACGTCCTCCTTTCATTATTGATCAAATTCAATGGTCAATCACAGTGAAAACATAGAGCAATCAATCCCTTTGCATGCATGGGATTTCATTTTAACCAATCAATAACCATTTACACAGTAATGTCTTCAACTGCAAATTTTCAAAACGACTCACGTGCCGACGTGGCTGCACAAGGATTAATTAATTATGGGTCAGGAGTCAGGACCGTCAGCTATAGCTCCTTAATTTAACTAGACTAATTTAATCACCATTGACGCCCTTTCCACTTTGGCTCTAGTTTTGTTTATGGTTTTAGTTGGCCCACGAGTAAAACACGCACGCTTCCAAAACGAAACCATCATCACGCTTGCTGATTTCTAGTTGGCTAGTTTCTACTGTGCATGCATGCATATTATTATTACCCCATTTTTTGGCTTTGTCCGACTACTCATTCATACTTAAAATTCATTTATCTAATGCCCACCATTCTCTCCAATATTATCACAACCACCATTACTTAATTATCTAATTGACCTCTTGCAATTTCTTTCGTATAAAGAATACATCGACCGGTCTCTGGAAGGTTGACTTGGTCATATCCTCCTCCTCCTCCATACCTCAATCTTTTAGCTAGCTAGGCCCACAGTTCTCTCTTTCGCCGTTTCTTCTTCTTCTTCCCCGGCCGCCATCTCTATAAATACCACTCCCCAACCTACTGCTCTCTTCTCATATATAATCATCACAGTTAATAACCATCGTCAACAAGCTAGCTAGCTAAGAGACTTCTCTCCTTCTCACCCTCAACCTATAGTATACAAAAGAACAAGTGCATCATATCACTGCAATCAGTAGTTTCCATGGCTCGTAGCTTGTCCACCAACCCTTTGCCTGCAGCTGCAGCAGCGGTTTCGAGAGAACTTCTAGTCCCGCAAATCAACAAACCCTCCACCCTGGTACGTAGCTTAATTACAGTACTCATGTTGTGAGATTTATCTGTTTCTGTTTTTGTTTTATTGACGTTTTGGACGTGCATGTACTGCAGAGGTTCGATGACCCAAAGGAGAGGAGCAGGATCAAGAAGTTGTTCGAGAAAGCGGAGCTTTCGGCTTCCTCATACGACACCGCATGGGTAGCC